ACTAGGAGTTCTAGATCAATCTAGGTAACATAGTGAGACCCTATCTCTACAAAAAAAAAAATGTTTTTAATTAGCAGAGCATGGTGATGTGGTCCTGCCTACTCAGGAGGCTGAGGTGGGAGGAATGCCTGAGCCTAGAGGTCAAGGTTGCAGTGAACCATAATTTCACCACTGCACTTCAGCCTAGGCAACAGAGGAAAACCCTGTCTCTTAAAAAAAAAAAAGTCCAAATGAATGCACAGATGCACAATGTTCAAAGACTGGAAGATTCTACTGTAATGATGTCGATTATCTTCTAGCTCATTTGTAAATTCAATGTAATCCCAATCAAAACCCTAATAGCTAATGCTGCGTTTTTTTTTTTGGAACTCAACAAGTTGATCTTAAAATTCTTAAAAAATACAAATGGTCAAGAACTGCCAAGACAGTCTTGAAGAAGAAAAAGATAAAAAAGACTTTAGCAGAGACCGACTTCTGGTAATGACAAAAGGAGACAACTAGACCAATGTAGCAAAGCCCAGAAAAATAAGTCTAGTAAATATGAAGCTCCACTGGGTGGGGTGGCTCACACTTGTAATCCCAGTACTTTGGGAGGCCAAGGCAGGCAGATCACTTGAGGTCAGGAGTTCAAGACCAGCCTCACCAAAATGGCAAAACTCCGTGTCTACAAAAAAATATTAAAAAATTAGCTAGATGTGGTGGTGCACATCTATAGCCCCAGCTACTCAGGAGGCTGAGGCATGAGAATTGCTTGAACCCGGGAGACAGAAGTTGCAGCCAGCCCAGACTGTGCTACTGCACTCTAGTCTGGGCAACAGAGTAAGGCTCTGTCTCATAAAAACAAATGAACAAACAAAAACTTAAGTTAGCAGTATGAATAAATGAATAAAAGTGATGATGGTAAGAAACCTCATCCTCCCAGGTGTGAGCCAGTGTTCTCAGCTGAGAAAAAAACACTCTTTTCTTTTCTTTTTTATTGGAGATGGAGTCTTGCTCTGCTGCCTAAGCTGGAGTGCGGTAGCATGATCTTGGCTCACTGAAGCCTCTGCTTCCCAGGTTCAGGCAATTCTCCTGCTTCAGCCTCCCAATTAGCTGGGACAACAGAGATGCGCCACCATGTCCAGCTAATTTTTTGTATTTTTAGTAGACATGTAGTTTCACCATGTTGGCCAGTATGGTCTCAAACTCCCAACTTCAAATGATCCTCCTGCCTCAGCCTCCCAAAGTGCTGGGATTACAGGCATGAGCCACCACACCCGGCCAAGAAAAACATTCTTTGTAAAGGTAGAAGAAATGATGGAATTCACAAATTACCTCATGGCAACCATCACAGTTACAAATAATTTTGGTAACAGATGTGAAAAATAAAAGGTAAAAAACGTAAGAACAGGGTATTTGTCATCTTAACCAGTAAATCATTAAAAAAGGAAAAATAGTAACATTACAGGGAAGAAACCTGCAAGATCACTTAAATAAGTAATCAAAGCTAACACCACAAGAAAAAGAATAACTTAACATTATGTGTCTCCTAATGTAATGAGGTAGGAAAGACATAAAATTATTTCTGTAGTATTTCCATTCAAAAACATGTATTATGACAAGGAAAAAACAGACATCTATATGGAAAGACATTCTATAAAAAATATCCTCCCCAAACTCTTCAGAAATGCAACAGTCCAACCTGGGCAACACAGTGAGACTCTGTCTCTACAATAAAATAAAAATAAAAATTAGCTGGGTGTGACGAGAGTGCCTATAGTCCTAGCTACCTGGGAGGCTGTGGTACAAGGATCACTTGAGCCTAGAAGGTTGAGGTTGCAGTTAGCTGTGATCATACCACTGCACTTCAGCCTGGGCAACAGAGTGAGTCCCTGTCTCAGCGGAGGAGGCGGGGCAGGGGCAAGGAGAAGCAATAGTCACAAAATACAGAATAAGAAAATGTTCTGAATTAAATGATTTGAAAGAAACATGACAAATAAATTAGCCTAATACTTGTTTGGATCTTTACCAGAAAAAATTCTCGGAGAAATTTATTTGCAACACAAACACACAATGAACTAGTATCTGGAATACACAAAGAATTCCTACAATTAAGTAAGAAAAGAATGAGAACTAAAGCACAAAAATAGACAAAAGAATTGAACAGGGAACAGGGATGGGGTGAGGTGTAAAAGACTACACATTGGGTACAGTGTATACTGCTTGGGTGACTGGTACACCAAAATTTCAGAAATCGGCACTAAAGAATGTATTCATGTAATTAATAAATAGAATTGAACACAAAATTTATAAGGATGAAAAATAAAAATATGTTCAACCTCATTATTAATTAGGAAAATGCAAGTGAAAACTGTTAAGATATCATTAAACATACACTAGAATTAAAAGAACGAAAATACCTCACTCCCTTCGTAGAAGACAGCTTGAAAAAACTTTAATCTCACAATGCAGTTATAAATTGGTGCAATCATTTTGAAAACTGGCATTATTAATGAAACTGAAAAAACATGTTCTCTATGACCAACAATTCCTTTCCTATGTAATTCTTAGATAAAACTCTTGTCCGGCAGACAAGAATGTTCATAGTAGCATCAAACTAAAAACAACCAAAATATTTGTCAACAGTAAAATGGATCAACAAACCAAGATATATATGATATATTCTTCCAACGGGATACTGTAGACTTGACCGTGCTGAGAATGAATGAACAACAGCCCCATGTATGAATATGGATGAATCACCAAAGATAACACAGAGCAAACAAAATAAAGTCACAAGAGAAAACCAGCAAGTGTCCATTTATGTAAAGTTCTAAATACAGCTTTAAAAACAAATTTTAAAGTTGCATTTAGGGATATATAATGAGTGGTAAAACAACAACAACAACAACAGGAAAACGGAAAAGCAAGAGAATGATTACCATCAACTTTGGAACTGTGGTTATCTTGGGGAAGGGACAGTGAAAAAAATTGATGAAGAAAGGTACACAGTGTGCTTCTTCAGTAGGTATAAGTATTTTATTTCTTAACCTGGCTGGTAATCACATGGGTGTTTATATACTTACGTGTTTTTTAAGTTTTTCTATAGGTATAACAAGGGTCACTAAAAGCAAGAACATCGGGCTTGTGACTCAGCCCTAGAAACTGTAAAGGGCAACCTCTATAAGAGAAAGAACAGCCAGTGAAGTAGGAAGAAAGTAAGGAGAGTGGTGTTTCAGAAGCCAAGAGAAAAAAGAAGAGACTAGTGAAACTGTGTCAAATATTAGTGAGAGGCAGAGTAGAGAAACTTTCAAACAATATATAAAGTGCATTGTTCTCTGTCTGATGAATCACTTATTTTGGGATGTAGACATTGTTTTGCAGTGACTAAGGATTAATAACATTCATGAGAAAGGATATAAACATTCTGATATTTTATATTCAGAAATCAAAATTCTTAACCATATTTTTAAAACGTCCTCCTCCCATAATATAGAACAATCGCACCAAGAGTATATAATTATTAGAACAAGTGAATTCTGACATTTGATAGCTGAGTTTTGGCAAACTTTAATTTGCCCATATATATATATATATATTTGCCCCAAATATTTCTATCATTTGTTATTGAAATGGTAATGACAAAGACCTTTGGCTCTGCCAAATCGGATAAGTAAATATATTTGTTAGAGGCTGGTAACAAATATAAAACACAAAAATTTGGTCAAAGAAGCCAAAACAAAAATTTATTTATTTATTTATTTATTTTGAGACAGAGTTTCGCTCGTTACCCAGGCTGGAGTGCAATGGTGCAATCTCGGCTCACCACAACCTCCACCTCCTGGATTCAGGCAATTCTCCTGCCTCAGCCTCCTGAGTAGCTGGGATTACAGGCACGCGCCACCATGCCCAGCTAATTTTTTGTATTTTTTGTAGAGACAGGGTTTTACCATGTTGACCAGGATGGTCTCGATCTCTTGACCTCGTGATCCACCCGCCTTGGCCTCCCAAAGTGCTGGGATTACAGGCTTGAGCCACCGTGCCCGGCCCAAAACAGAAATTTTAACAATATTATAAAGATGCATTGAATCATTTGGGTTTTTAAATTAAAAACAATAAAAAAGCTTTCACTTTAAAGTAATGAACTATTTTCTAGAAAGTTTGGACTATCATTTGTCTTAATTTTAAAATTGATTGCCTTAATTCTTTTCACTTTCTCACCTATAAAATATGATTAACTAAATACTATTAAAGTCCCAGTTAGCAATATTTTATGGTGTTATTTGGGAAAGAAAAAAAATCAATCACAAAAGGTAGTAATACTTTTTCTAAATAATAAACCACACTTTTGGGAACTGTAATACCAAATGCAGCACATACTAACCTAGTAAGATACTCAAGCCAGGCCATCCATTGCTTTTTCCTTAAGAGGGTTACTTTAAATAAAAGAGGGAGGCTCTTCAAAGCTACAATTTGCAGAGACAATTTAGAAGGCTGTATTTTTACTAATACAAAATGCAACTTCACACAAGCTGAAGATACAGCTGGAAGTTCTAAAGTTTAAAAAAAAAATCAAAACAAAATAAATCTTCTTTGGATAAAAGAAGATCATACTATTCATTTAGTTTTGATTTAAAATATCATTACTTAAAAAGGGAAAATATTTTTCTCAAGAGCATATATAGCAAAATTCTTTTGGCTATAAACTAGCATATTTAAATTAATGTTAATAAGACCATTCATTAGAAGCAAATGGCTTGTGGCTTTTAAAGAATGAGTAATACTAATGTTAGAAAATAAATTTGTAACTCAATTTCAGATATTCATTTGTTTTGTCAACTAACAGAACCTCCTAATATTAATATTTAATTAATGGGCATATTTTGTTCCATGATTCTTGCTTTTCTTTATAAATCCTGAGAGAACTCAAGAAGAAAATGGCTTACTAACATACATGGCTTAATAAATGAAACTTGTAACTTCAGAAAACTTGCTTTGTGACTCAAAAAGGAATTACTCACCAAAAGCAGCAGCCATAGGGGGTTCAAGGGATGGCTGGCCATCACCAGTAGGAAGGTCTAAGCGAGTGAAGTCTCTGCTTTTGTCATTATTATATTTCACATTAAGGCTGGTGAGCTTGGAGAAGTCAATACGCAGGGTGCAGCATGCATTATAGATATTCTGGCCATCCAGAGCCTAAAGCATGTAAGAAAGGGACTGGTTTTGGCAAGACAACAACACTGATAACCAAGAAGCCTCTACTGACAAAGAGGGGCAATCAGGTGTGAGGCAGAAAGCACTGACTAAAAAGTCAAAGTCGGGTTTATTTTTACCTCAGTCATATATAATTATGAGTCTGAGAAAAAGAAAATCTCTATGTCTCAGTTTATATCTGTAAAATACGACTGATAATATTTATCTTGTCTGTGGTAAGATCAAATGAGAGAGGAGATATGTGAAAAACTGGAAAACTATAATCTATCACAGAAATGTTCACTATTATTATTATTTTGCCTGTACCAAAAGTTTTAAAATACTCGGATTTTACATTCCATTTTAATTCATTTTAGCATAGTTCACATTATACTAGGATGTATAAGGTTTGTTAGGATGAAACAAAGCTTTTGTAAATGCTACTTGTCAGAGCCACAATATATAAAATACTATCTATCACTTATTTTTTTCTCCTGTAAATTTACTTTGTAATACTTTGAATAATAAACTGAGGGAAATGTGAAATCAGTTGTGACCAAAGATTAGCAACACCTTCCTTTGCAAGAATAAAAATTTACCTTAGGGTATTTATGGCCACTTATGACATTTGCAAATGCTTGAATTTTTAAAAATAGATACCAGAAACCAAAGCACATAAAAATAAAACATATATAATATAAATCCTGATTTATAATAATGGTCATTGAGAAGTATGCCATCATAAAGGTACAAAATAATATATGTAAGTTCAGGGTACAGCAAATATAAAGGCTATACTCCCAATCAAGTGCCAGACACAGTGTGGTACAAAAAAGTACTATAAGCCTTAGTCCTCATCTTTGACCAAAATATAGAAACGACAAGATGAAATTAGAGTCAGGGAAACATCAATAGGAGATACGTCTAAAGTAACCGAACTGAATGTCATTTTATACCTTGTCAAAATAGTCAGGTTTTTGTGTACTAAAAAAAAGACAATATGAATTGACAGCAGTGTATTTCCTAAGATTTAGTATCTCTACCAATTCAGAGCTCAACAGGAATAAACACGGAATATAGCTGCAAAAATGGTAAAATCAATCTCTGACTGATTTAACAGAAGTAAATGGTCTACAGTCATACCACCCTGAATGCGCCTGATCTCAGAAGCTAAGCAGGGTCGGGCCTGGTTAGTACTTGGATGGGAGAAGTAAATAAAAGCGCAAAGGTAATGATGGCTCTATTAGTCAGCTCATATCAGGAGTACTGTGTTCAACTCCAGACTTTAAACATAACAAACAGGAATTAGTCTCAGAGATGTGAGAGGTGATAGGAAATTTGAGACCACTTCATATGAAGAAGTAATGATTTTTAGCTTAGAAAAAAAAAATACACGAAATCATACACTTTAAAATGACTAAAATGGTAACTATTATGTATATTTTAACACAATTTAAAAAGAAAACACATGGTAAAGTGGGGCAGGAGAGAAGATATGATGACTTCCATCAGGTAACACTGATGTGATTAACAATTGAAAAATGAAACAAAGATCATAATTACCATTTTGGCATAATGTGCATTTACTGGGTCAGCATACTGAAGCAAAGCTTGGAATTGATTATTCTTTGTAAAGGTGATAATCTTCAAGACTGTGCCAAATTTAGAAAATATCTGGAAAACAGTTAACATCAGGTTACATGTAAGAAAAGTACTAAGCTAATGTATCTTTATAAATACAACTTGGTTCATAAATCCTTTTAAATGAAAATTTTCTCTTTAAAACTGTTGGTACCAAAATGACTTAAGCCTAAAACATCATCATTTTAATACCCATGCCTATCTTAGAACAATGCCTGGCACACAACAGGCACTCAAATAACTAGCCTATTTAATGGCATATATAAACGGCACATTATTAAAATAGGAGGCTACAACAGAAATAATCGGATTAACAGGATGAGATGTGTTACAAAGCATATAAATAAAAGTGAGAGTCATAGGCCAACTATTTCATGCTGTGAAGAAGCCATCTACTTCTTGAGATTTCTGTAGCCACTAAAAGATGTTCGGCTAGAAGCTGCTCTATTAATTTGCCAAATATTCATGGAGGATTGTTCCAAGCACTGGAAAGATAGCAGTAAACAAAATAGAGACAAAACTATGCCCATGTGAAGACAGACAATAAAGAAATGACAAACATATTCTAATATCTGGTGATTTTAAAAGTCTTAAGAATAAATATAAAAGAAGGGAAGGGATCAGCATGAACCAGAATGCAAGCTGGGATAGTACAAGAGTGGTGGCCAGAAAAGGCCTTTCTTAAATGTCTTTTCAGAGGAAAAGAGGGGAAGGCTTCCTGATATCAATGTCCTCACAACATATGTTTCACCTCAGTACCACAAGGGTTCATGGCCAGGGTTACTATTAACAGTAATTCACTTCTGAAAGACTAAATTGGGGGGATAAAACACAACTATATATTTAGTTTTCCTCTGTTTGTACGATTTGGCTCTTTGTCACCACCCAAATCTCATCTCAAATTGTAATTTCCCACATGTCGAAAGAGAGACCTGGTGGGAGGTGGTTGGATCATGGAGGTAGTTTCTCCCTTGCTGTTCTTGTGATAGTGAGGGAGTTCTCAAGAGATCTGATGGTTTTAAAAGTGGCAGCTTCTGCTGTGCACTGTCTCTCTCCTGCCACCATGTGAAGAAGGTCCTTCCTTCCCCTTCACCTTCTGCCACAACTCTAAGTTTCCGGAGGCCTCCCCAACCATTCAGAACTGTGAGTCAATGAAACCTCTTTTGTTTATAAATTACCCAGTCTAAGGGAGTATCCTTATAGCAGTTTGAAAATGAACTAATATTCACTCAATTTTAAACTTCAATCTTAAAACAGAAATCTGTTCTGCTTTTTTGATTAAAAAGGTAAGTATTCCCTATACTGGTAAGATTTTGCTGTTACCAACCACTATGGTATGATAATAGCTTCACTGCAGCCTCCACCTCCCAGGTTCCTCCCATCTCAGCCTCCCAAGTAGCTGGTCTACACCACATCTGGCTAATTTTTTATTTTTAAAGTTTTATAGAGATGAGGTCTATGTTCACCAGGCTGGTCTCAAACCCCCAGGCTCATGTGATCCACCCGCCTTGGCCTTCCAAAGTGCTGGGATTACAGGTGTGAGCCACCAGACCTGGCCCTGCTTTTTAATTCTCAAATAGAACGCTCAAGAATAACTATCCTTCCCTGATAGTCTAATGGTTAGGGAAAAAAAAAAAAACATGAAAGAAAGAATATTCTAAAGCACAGGTAATGAAAGAAAAATAAACTGGACTACCTCAAAATTAAACACTTTTGTGCATCAAAAGAAACTATCAACAGAGTGAAATCAAATCATGTATATGATAATGGATTAATATCCAGAACATATAAAGAACTCATGCAATTTCAACAATACAAACAATGCAACCCAAAAACAGGCAAAGGACTTGAATAGACATTTCTCCAAAAAAGATAATCAAATAGCCAATAAGCCCACAAAAAGAGAGGGCTTATTATCAATATCACTAATCATTAGAAAAATGGAAATCAAAACTACATATCACCTAACTTCCATTAGGATAGTTACAATTTTTTTTTTTTTTTTTTTTTTTTTTTTTTTGAGAGGGAGTTTCGCTCTTGTTACCCAGGCTGGAGTGCAATGGTGCCATCTAGGCTCACCGCAAGCTCCGCCTCCTGGGCTCAGGCAATTCTCCTGCCTCAGCCTCCTGAGTAGCTGGGATTACAGGCACGCGCCACCATGCCCAGCTAATGTTTTGTATTTTTAGTAGAGACGGGGTTTCACCATGTTGACCAGGATGGTCTCGATCTCTTGACCTCGTGATCCACCTGCCTTGGCCTCCCAAAGTGCTGGGATTACAGGCTTGAGCCACCGCGCCCGGCCACAAAAACTTTTTAAACCCATAAAATAACAAGTATTGGGGAGGATATGAAGAAAATGGAACCGCCATGCACTGTTGGTAGAAATGGAAAATGTTACAGCCACTATGGAAAAAGTATGACCTTTCCCTAAAAAAAGAAAAACAGAATTACCATATGATCCAGCGATTCCATTTCTGGGTATATAGTCAAAAAATTGAAAGCAGGAACTCAAAGAGATATGCATACACCCATGTGCACAGCAATATTATTCAAAATAGCCAAAACAGGAAGCAACCAAAGTGTTCATCAGCAAATAAATAAACAAAATATGATATCTATACCTACAACCAAGTATTATTCAGCCTTTTTCAAAAGGAAGGAAAACTCTGAACATGGACAAACCTTCAAGACATCACGCCAGGTGAAATAAGCCAGTCACAAAAGACAAACACTGCAGTTAAAATGGTAAATTTTTTGTTATATACATATTTTGCCACTTAAATCACTTATGGCAAGACATGAATCAATCTATGTATTATTCCTGCATCAACTCCATGTTTTCTCTCAATAAAGGAGTAACATTAGACTTTTAAAAAAGGTTGGGGATGTAATATAATAACTGTCTGGCCTCCCTTCTTCATTCCAACAGCCCAAGTAGTGTTCTAAATTGTAAGTCAGATTATATTTTCCCCTGCTGCCCTGGTTTACCTCTCCAACCTCACTTCCTGACACTTCTTATATCACACTACTCTATTTACATAAACAATATGCAGTTGCCTATAGTTCTTCAAATTTACCAAGTGATTTCAGATTTCTACACCCATATATGAGAATTCTCCCTTTTCCTAGAAATCTGTTTAACAGCATAAGCCTTCATTTATATTTTCCAAAATTCAGCTCGGGGAACAATGCTACCACAAATTCTCAGCCTCCCCCAAATCCCTATAGAATTATTTTTCCCAAGTAGTATCCACTTTTTAGTTTCATGTAAGTATTATCTTACTATTGTACTTCAACTCTATTACAAATTTATTTATATATTTGTCTCCTTTAATTAGACTGAAGGCTCCTTGAAGAAATATACCTTGTCTTAATCATTTCTGCATCATTAAATACAATTCCTGGCATGTAAGGGATACAGACTAAAATGTTTATTATTAACTGATAAAGAATTATAATGAGACCTGGCTGGAGAATTACAGCAATATGCAAATTTTATTTTCCTTTTTAAAAGACAGGGTCTCACCTTGTTACCCATGATGGTATGCAGTAGTGCCATCATAGTTCACTATAACCTTGAACTCCTGGACTCAAGCAATCCTCCTGCCTTAGTCTCCTGAGTCCTACAGGTGCACACTACCACACATGGCTAATCTTTACATTTTTTGTAGAGATGAGGTCTCGCTACCTTACCCAGGCTGGTCTGAAACTCCTGACCTCATGTGATTCTCCTACCTTAGCCTCCCAAAGTACTGGGATTACGGGCATGAGTTATTGTACCCAGCTGGCAATATTTAACTTTTTTTCCTTTTTTTAAAACTGTTTTTAAATTTTTATTTAAAAAAAAACAAAACACTTCTTTTCACACCAATAAGTCAGCAATTTTAAAAAATAATATTCTTGATATAAAATATCTCATTAGTGAAGGAATAAAAACAGATAATTTGCTCTAAACTTTGGAAAAACTGTATACTAAATTATGCTATAAAACTTAATTTCCACTTACCTTTCAGATTTTGTTAATGTTTACATTCCTTCTCTCATTTAACTTCAACAACGACCTGAAGCACATCCTCACTGACAGCCTGGTGTTTTGCTGTGTGGTTTTTACCTGAATGTGCTAAGATAACAGAACTTGCCTAAATGGGCCAAACATGAATAGCACTCTAATCCCCTGGATTATATTCACTGAGAGAGGAGCTACAAAAATCAATCTGACACTTCTGAATAAAGTAACTGGGCACCAACATCAGGTAATCCAGGAATGCCTGAAGTGTGATTTTTAACACCTTTTTATAATTATCAAAATAGTAAATTTTAAAGACATTTGATATCAAAAAATAAAATTCAGGAAAGTTTGATATATATGTATCTATTTTTATGAATTATAAGGTCTTTGACTCTGTTTCCCTAATATATTTTGCTGCCAAAAATACAAATACCTAACTCTATATGCCTCCTGTTTATTTTAATCTTACAGACTACAACATAGGACTAAAAAGATACTAAAGATCAAATTCTGATAAAATTCATCTTCAGTGATTTTTATAAAGGTAGAATTTGTCAGAAACTGAAAATGTCCACTAGTATACACTTACAAAAAGAGTATTCATGGCTGGGCGCGGTGGCTCACGCCTGTAATCCCAGCATTTTGGGGGGCCAAGGTGGGCGGATCACCTGAGGTCAGAAGCTTGAGACCAGCCTGGTCAAAATGGTGAAACCCTGCCTCTACTAAAATACAAAAATTAGCTGGGCATGGTGGCAGGCACCTGTAATCCCAGCTACTCAGGAGGCTGAGGCAGGAGAACTGCATGAACCCAGGAGGTAGAGGTTGCAGTGAGCCAAGATTGTGCCACTGCACTCTAGCCTGGGCGACAAGAGCTAGACTCCATCTACAAACAAACAAACAAAAAGGTGTGCATTCACATTAGAATTTTTTTTTTAATATCAAGCATACTGGCCACAACTTATTTATAAAGGTTTTTGTAAACTATGAAGTAGTAAGATTTAAGAACCAGAATTTCATATTACTA